TTTCTTTAACATGCTTAAAATACTAGAAACAGCCCGCACTTAAAATTCTAATGTTAAGTATTCTCTTTGAATAATTGTACAAAATTAATTTTACTGAGTGAGCCTTTTATGATTTTAGTTAATATAAGTCCATGTTTAGTGCCTGAGGGCCCTGTGAGTCTTTTTAACTGTGTTATGGCTAATTTTGTGTGACTTTTAGAAATTATAAATGCCAGTGGAAATTTCTCCTCCTTGGTATTCATTGCACAGCTCTGTAAGATCTAGGATTCAGTGGTGCGGGTGAGGGGCTTTAGACTGTGCCATCTGTAAAAGGTCTGTAAGTGTAGTGCAGTGAGCTGCTGTTGTGGCTGTGCTAGCAAGGAAGCAGAGCCACAGCAGTGCTTTGCTGGCACTAAGGACTCCTGCTGTGCAAAAGCTAATTCTTAAAGTTGTAGCTATCCTAGAAAATCTGACTTTTACTACACACATTCGGAGGAACAAATCTCAGTTCCTGCTTGTTCTTGGGTAGAGGTGAGTTCTCATGCTTCTCCATGTAGAGCTTCAAGAGACAGTGATGCACTTGCAGTCGGGTTACTAAATTACCTCTCTGGTCATCAGTTTTGTCTAAGAAAATAAAGAACATGAGCAATTCTATGTGCCTAGATGCAGTCATTTATGCAGAAGCACACACTCACAACTAGTCCAAAGGATCTCACTTGCAGAATCCTATTAATATACCAAGGTGGAGCCAATGAGATTGTTCAGTGGGGATCACATCTACCACCGAGCCTGGCAACCTGAGGTCAGTCCCTAGGCCCCTTGCCATGGTAGGAAAGACCCATTCTTGCAAGTTGTCCTCAGACCTGTACACTCTCGTCATGGCATGTACACACCTGCATGCTCAGTCTCTTTCACTGAGCAGATTACTTTTGAGTACCTCCCTAGAGCCAGACAGGGTGGTAAGGGAATGATAAGCTACTGTCTAATTCTCGGCTTCTTGTTCCTGTAGCTTCTCCTACCCCACAAGATCTCTCTCTTCCCTTCTGTGTATTGGGAGATAGATTTGCATGTGTAATTCCATACTTCATAGCCTAAGTAACAGGATATTGTCCCATTTAAAGAAAAAAAAAAAACTCCTGAGAATATTCTGTATCAGTTTGTCATTTCCTTTACAACTACAAAATACCATGTTGGATTATCTAGCTTCCTGTTGGGCATTTAAGTAGTTTCTGGGGTCTGCTCTTCTTCCCTCCAATTTGGGGGTTGTGTACTTTTGCCTCACTTTCCCACTAATGCACCAGTTTCATTTCCTACCATTAGTGATTCCGGGCAGTGGAACACCATATCACACTTACAGAAACTTTATCTCCACATGTACTTCCTGATAGATGCTTGCCAGCACACCTAATTTCAATATTCTTGGCAAGGCATGCTCTTCACCTCCACCGTGTGAGCAGCTGTGAGCCAGCTGATACACTCTTCATCCCCAACATTGGGCTCCACTGGCTACCACTTGCCTGTCACCTAAGCCTGTCATTGCAGGCTGTCCACACTGCTCACTCTGATGCCCAAAGTCTGCCCTAGCTGGGGCAGAGCTGGGAACCTCCAGGAGTGGCCTCTGCTCTCATCCACAGTTGGCTTCTGATTAGTTGCTCTTCTGGCTGCTATGACAAAACACCTGGCAAAAACAACGTGAAAGCAGGGCAAGGAGGGTTTATGTTGCATCAAGGCTTGAGGGCATATTACATATCAGGGAAAGAATGGTGGTAGCAGTGTGAGATGACTGAGGTCACATTGCAGCCACAGTCGGGAAGCAGAGCAAGATGCATGCTGATGCTCAGCTTGCTTACTCCCTCATCCTTTTCCTTCAGCCAGCCAATCCCATATGGGTCTGCCCCTTTAATTAAACTTCTTAGAAAGCTCTCAGGAATATTCAGAAGCCATCTCCTAGACAACTCTAGAGTCATCACAGTCTCCTTTCCCCCTGAAATCATTGCATTCCTGTGCAATTTTGTCTCCACCATGTTGGGATCAGTGGATCAAGTTAAGTGTGTCATAGTTTACTCCCATTTGGTACAGCGGTATCAGGTTTCATTTCTGAAACCCAGCCTTTCAGAAGCTTGCTTTCTAATATCTAGTCATAAAAGTAAGAAACCTTTTCCCAACTTCAGTCTCGGGACACCTTTGGGAAACCTCAACACTGGCCATTGGTTGCTTTTCTTTGCTTGATGGCCTTGTGCCCTGCCTCTGAGAGTCAGCTGCCAAGTGTCTGTGTCTCTTCTCAACCCTGTCTTCCCCCCATACTCACTCCTCTGTGTATCTTATAGTTTCTTCTTTGCTACTCTGACTTCTTCAGTTTAACCCCAGTAGCCTAATGCACTGTTCCTGTTATCATTTCCTCTGCTGTCTAGTCAACTAGCCCCACCTCTCCTCATGGTTTAAAGGATGTGAAATATTTCCCAACATCCTCTAGCACAGCACTTTCCTCACTCTAATGCAGCTATTGTGTGAAATGACTTCCTCACTCTAATGCAGCTACTGAACCACTGTGTGACGCATCCTCCTTACTCTAATGCAAGTCACATGTGTTTTCCTAATACCTGCCCCCAGGCAGGGTTTCGCTATGTATCCCTGGCTCTGTATACCAGTCTAGCCTCTGTAGACAAAGTTTCTTTCCTGCACAGTCCTGTAGCCCTTAGTTCCACAGAGGCTTATATTAATTATAAACTGTTTGGCCGATGGCTCAGGCTTCTTATTGGCTGGATCTCTCCTAATTATTAACCCATTTCTATTAATCTAAGTATTTCCACATGGTCTTGGCTACCGGAGAATACCTGGCATCCTATCTTCCCAGTAGCTACATGGCATCTCTCTGGCAAATCTCTCTCCCTCCCCCCCCCCCTTCTCTCTATCCATCCATCCATCTATCTATCTGTCTTTTTCCTATACTTCCTGCCTGGTTCCTGGCCAATCAGCATTTATTCATCAACCAATAAGAGAAACATATATTCACAGCATACAGAAGGACAATCTCCCATCAAGCCTCAAACTCCAAGATCTGCCTGCCTCTGCTTCCCAACGCTGGGATTTAAGGTGTATGCGACCTTTTTCTTAACCAAATATTAAAGCATATTCTAGAGTAAATTCTCATACTTTTCAAATTATTCCTACTAAGTTGCTATCATAGTGTTAACAGGCAACTTTCTGATCAAATTATTGGTTCACTGACTGTGGGCAGTCAATAAGTTTTTACTCTGTGTTTCAGTGGATTCTTAGCTCCCCACATTCCTGTCCCTAGTATCCTGCAAACAGGGGTTTCTAAAATCCTTTACATAAAGCTCCAAAATCTAAAATAAAAAATTGGGTACCTAAGTCATTCAGAGGCAAACCCCTGAACTGAAATAAAACCATTTAGAACTGTATTTGCCTGCTGTGTTATGAATACTAAAGTACTTTGCTGCAGGGGTGGTAGTAGGTTTAATTATCAATGGCCTGCAGATTCTGCTGGGTCTTGTGTAACAGTGTGTGTGTATGTGTGTGTGTGTGTTTCCTCTTACTACTTTTCTAAAATGTGAAAGTAAACTCCAACCCTCATGTGGCCCCATAACTTTCAGAAAGCATTATGGGTTTGCAATATCCAGTTCCTAGACGAGTTCATGAAGCTAGTACATGTGAGCCTACATGAAGTCTGGTTAATATGAAACACTTAAAAATAAGAAACTTCTCCAGTTCTCAAGCCAGGCCTTGTGACCTTGAGGCCTTGGAAGTAAAATGGATGATTCAGTCCTTAAAATGGGGAGCCAAAATGTTTCCTTAACTGTTCTCTTAAGGTTGTAGTAATTGCTCTGTGGTCAGGCCAATAAATCTGGGATGAATGGAAAGTTATTCTATCAGTTAAAATTGTTCCTATTAGTATGCCAGGAGGTGCTTTCTGTGTGATTCAAGTTAGTTGGTTTGTTTGTTTGTTTGTTTTTCTCTTCAGCTCTGTATCCTTATCATCCTGTGTCTCTTTGGTTATGTTTAACATTTTTTTAAAGTGTCACATCAGGTTGCTTTTTAATGCTGATGATTTAATTGCAAAAGCATACATAAACAGTTTGAAAGGTGTGAGAAGAAATTTCACAAGTCACACAGGGAACAGCACCAAAGCCCCCTCAGTCTGGAATTCATCACTTTACAAAGAAAACTGCACGGCTAGCACGAAATGGTACAGCCTAAACCAGAGTGAAAAGCCAGTTGATGCCAAACACACACACACACACACACACACACACACACACACACACACACACACACACACGCATGCACGCACGCACCACACACACAAACTTTTGTTTCAGAACAAAGATAACAGTGGGTGATATGAGATGAACTTCGTTTGGTATGTCTCACCTTCATGAGGCATGGGAAAGCAAGGCATGTGTATCAAACAGAAGTCACAGTAGAGTATTCCAGAGTATCAGCTTTGGAGATCAGGAAGGAAAGTGGGCTTGCTCTGGCTTGGGAAGATGGGTCAAAATTGGGTAAGATGGAAGCTGGATGAAGGGCTTATAGAGCACGGGGACCAGAAGAACAGAGTCCCAGATCTCTGGAAGTTTTGTTTAATGGCTGCCATTCTAACAGGAGAATTATGCTGCAACGTTGGAGAATTACAGTCCTTGGGAATGCAGGGCAGGTAACCTGCAAACCTTGTCTTGAAGGACATAAGCAGTTGCTTAGGAAAATGGGGAACAGGCCAAGGAATCTGGTCTGAACATAAAAAGGGATGTTTTTAAATTATATGTATTGTGGATGTGGGTTTATACACATTAGTACAGGCCAGAAGAGGACATTGGATCCCCTGCCACTGGAAGGCAGGTGTGAGCCACACAACATGGGTGCAGGGAAATGAATTCAGGTCCTTTGCAAGAGCAGTATATCCTATTAACTGTTGAACCAGGTCTCTATCCAAGATCAGATGTGATTTGAAGTTTCAGTACCAGGACAGTTGCACTGTAGTCACCTGTGTGTTGTCATTACAGATGAATCAAACATCCCTTCTGGAACAGCACCGAGTGGGAAAAGTTTACAGAATAAGAGTCAGTTTAGGACCATTGCACCGAAAATTGTGCCTAAAGTCTTAACATCCAGAGTGCTACCTTGTCCTTCCTCACTTTCTGACCAAGGGAGTCTGGCTCTAACCTCCAAGCCCCTGGGCATGCCCACCCAGAACTATGCTCTGATGCAGGTGGCTGGCCAGGAGGGCACGTTTTCTCTTTTTGCTTTACCGAGTGTTGCCTCAAATCAGCCAGTTCAGAAGCCCAGAATGTCTCTGCATGAAAACCTTAAACTGCCTATTCCTCGATACCAACCACCAAGTAACAAAGGCTTAAGAAAGAAACAGGTCCTGAGCTCTCCCAAGAGTAGCTGGAATGAACCCCCTGGCCCAGTCCAGACATGCCAAATGTCTCCTTCTGCACAAGCCCATCCTGAACTGCCTCACAAGACCAGCCCATTGAAGCAAATGCCCACTTTAAACCATTCCTCTGCCATCAAAACAACTACACTGACCAATAGTATTGGCCAAGGAGATTCAAATCTCCTTGTGACCAACAGCTGTGGAGACCTGAAGCTCCCTGCCATCCCAGCATGTGCTACAGAGGATTCCTCTTCCCCACAGAGCCTCCCCTCTATCATGCAGAAGGCAGACTGTACCAGGAAGGAGGCGCCCACTAAGCCTGCTGTTGCTGGTGAAGAGCTTAAAGACCAAGTGGCTCCTGCACACACTGTCTTCAGCAGTGTGGTTCAGTTGGTCTCATTAGTACCGAAAGGTAAACTGCCCATTGTGCCCTTCTCAAGAGTGAAAGCCACAGAGGTGGGCAAAGTGGAATCAGATGCTGATAATGCCAATCTATCTTCATCTGGATGCAGGGCAAACTGTGATGAGAGATTGTCCGTCTCAGAAAGGTTTGATGCAGCCACCATGATGCCCAGCAAGATAACTTCTCTGCATGGATCCAGGCAGAATGCTTGTGAAAGTGCCTTCAATCCTGTCACCAAATTAGATCTCAGCCACAAAATAAAGCCAAGCAGTGGGGCAGTAAAGAGAAAAGGAAGAAAATGGAAAGTGCCAGATGAGATTTTAGCATTGCAGGGCAAGAGGAGGAAATACACTATTGATGTGTGTGGAGATGGAGTAGAAAGTGGGAGAAACAATCCCCAAGAACCCAGAGACCAGAAGCCCAAGGCTGCTTCAAGAAAGTATCGTAGCATCATGCCCAAGCCTGTCATCATCATGTCTGCTTTGGCTCCCCTGGTGTCATCCCCTGCAGCTGCACTGCAGTCCCAGGCTCCCAGCAGCTTAGGTCAGGATGTTCTGCTGAATAATGCGCTGCCTCCAAAATGCCTTGGCTCCAAGCATAGTGACAGCCCTGCCCCAAAGGCCAGCTCCGTGCTTAGAAACAGATTCTCGGGCATTAAGAAGCCCTGGCACATGTGTCCTGTCTGTAACCACCACTTCCAGTTCAAACACCACCTTCTAGACCACATGAATACACACACTAACAGACGGCCTTACAGTTGTGGGATATGTCGCAAGGCCTACGTCCGTCCTGGCAGCCTGAATGCACATATGAAACTTCACCATGGTGAGAATCGCCCCAAGAAACTAGTGTGCTGTGAGTTTTGTGCAAAAGTGTTTGGTCATGTCCGAGTCTATTTTGGCCATCTGAAGGAGGTGCACAGGGTTGTGATCAGCACAGAGCCCTCCTCCAGTGAACAGCAGCCAGGAGACACGTCAAGGAACAAGGACAAAGATGCCTATGTGCAAGGACCTGATGGCCCACTGGAGAGGTGAGTGCCCATGGAAGGGAAGCCTAGCAAGACAGTCTGTTGTGATATGAGAAGATTAAGATTTCAAAACATGTCAGGAGTGTTGGTACACACCTACAGTCCTAGCACTTGGCAGATAGAGATAGTGAGATCAGGAATTCAAGGTCAGCCTGGCTATGTGAGACCCTGTCCCAAAATAGCAACAAAGTAAGATGTCATAAGATAAAAATAAGCCACCTTGTCCCACCCCTCAGTTCTCTGAAGTATTACCTCACTCCTTGTTGGTTTCTGTTAAGTCACAATGTTTACTCAAACTTGTATAAGTCAAGATATGAATGCCAGTTTGGGTATGCTGGGGACAGTTGGGTGACATTATTTTTGCATCTAAAAATTAAAATAGATTATCATACATAGTTTTTAATGGTCTTTATAAAGTAGCTTCCCCAAAATTATTGTTCACAAAATTCTTATCTAAACAGCTTTATCTATTGCTCAACACCTTGTGAGGCCACCCCCGTTCAACAGACCCCAGGGTACTCCACTGCTATATGTACCCATTGTTACCTGTCAGGCCAGATGAAGCTTTTCCTGTGTCCTTGTGTTTTGTAAGCACTGCTCCTCGGCATTATTAAAGACAACAACAATGAACTCCATAATCTGGATGCTGATAAGGCAAGCACTTGAGGAGTAATGACCAGGGAAGTGCCTGTAGTGTGGTCCATGCCTGCAACCTTAATGCTTTGTATTCAATATCATAATGGATTAAAAACAAGATGCCTGCCCTAACTTCTTCTTGTCTTTGCCTTTCCTCATCTCCAATAGTTCATTCCATCTCTCACTAATGTGCCATGGAACAGAATGCCCCTTTGCACTTCATGTACTCAGATCATCTTGAAATAAGATCTCAGTCTGCCAAAGTGGTGGGGGTAGCATGGATGATGTGGACAGTCATCTTCAGCAAGTGCCACAGTGTACCATGCCACCTCCTACCACATTACCTAATCTTCATGTTGACTACACCTGTGGTAACCAGGGAGGTGACTAGGGGGAGATACAGGACTCTTAGTCTGTGGTGGCCTCAAAGATGTCTGGGCCCTAGGGTGGCAGTGTGCTATGGATGGGCTCTGCTGAGGCTTTGCTGACCTCTCCTTAGCAGGGTGCTTTGTATCCCTGGAGGCCAAGACCTGACAGCAAGAGATCCAGTTGCATTTTCCTGGGAAGGCTTACCTAGACTATTTCCCCCTTTCCAGGGAAAACAAGTCAAGTTTGGAAGAAGATTTCCTTCTAAACCAGGCAGATGAAGTCAAGTTGCAAATCAGATGTGCCCGTTGTCAAATCACTGCTCAGTCTTTTGCTGAAATAAAGTTCCATTTGCTCCACGTTCACGGGGAAGAGATCCAAGGGCGGCTTCAGGAGGTGATCTTACCAGACAGCAGAGCGGGGGTTCCTCACCAGAAGCAGCACCCTGAGAGAAGGAAGCAGATGAAGCCCTGGGCCTCTGTGGAGGACCCCCCAGCATTTCCTAAAGTGAAAAGGCTGCCACCCTGTCATCAGAACAGGGAGGAAGCGCAGGCTGGAAGTGAAGGTGGCCTGTGGGGAATGAGCAGCCCACAGCACCCCACCAAGCTTCTCTGGTCCCACTCAGGCTTTGACTGCCTGCTCTGTGCCCAGAGGCTGGGGCGGAAGGAAGACCTACTCCTTCACTGGGTACGCCAGCACAACTGTGAAGACCCCACCAGACTCTGGGCTATCCTGGGTGCCATCTCTAACCAGGAAGCTCCTGGATTCCTCAATGAAGGAAGGCAGTGATGCTGAGACCACCCAGCATCAATGCTGATGCTACAAGGTACCTCTCTCCATTGATGCTGAGACCTCAGACCACCTTTCTGTCATGCTCTGTTTCTGTTAGTATTTAATTACAAGGATCCAGTATGCCAGGGCCAACACCAGTGTACAGAGGTAATTTTTGTGGGTAGTTTTATTTTCTTAAGAAATAAAATATGTGCCCTAGATGCATTTTTCTAACATATGTAATGTCATGTTAAAATTCCATGCATTCTCTAATATCATAGGCTTTATTTCCTAATAAATAAAAAGATTAAAATTTGTTTTTGATTGCAAGTTTTTGAGTGTCTGTGAGAGGGTGTGTGTGTTTAAGTGTATGCATACATATGTCCTTTAATTTTGATACTGTTTGATTATATTTATCAACAGTTAATTCTACAACTGTGGAATGTAGTTCCAACTATACTATATAGTTACATGTCAAATGTTCATATTTATCAGTCTCTGGTTTGTTTGACATGCTCTAAAACAGTCTTTTTTTAGGGGGTAATTTTGCTGTTTTCTTAAATGTGCAGCTCTTTGAAAATTAGTCAAGCAAGTCTTTTAGTGTTCCATCTCAAAATAATGATAGAAAAAATGGGTACTTCCGCTAATAAAAAAAAAAAAAATCTACTTGCGTGGTAGAAAGTTATTTTCAGGAAGTCTTTGTGACCTGAAAATTTACAACCTAGAAAGTGAGCTACATGGTGCAATCCAGATGTGGCTGTAGTCCAGATGTGGCAGTGCCTCCTGCTCTCTCTTCCTCTCAGGGGCTTCAGAGGTTGTCACCAGCTGATCAGTTTTAGATACAACCGTGCCTTTAAAGCACAGAGCCTCTTTGAAAGTCAGGAATAAATGATGGCCTCTTAAATTCCTGGGAAATTACCTTGAATCACAAAAGTTGCCATTTGAAGTTTGTGGCCGTCCTGTCCGTGAGTCATTTTCTGGGAAGTGGAGTCTGAGCTCTCATCACCCTAACCCTGCTGCTGCCTTCCCATGAGCTCTGTGCACACGGCAATCCTGTTTTGTTTGCCAGGCACTGGCTTGAGAAGGTTAGCAGGAAATTTTGATGGATAAGCCACTGGGCCTTACATCACCTTTTTCAGCGTCTAGCTGTTCATAGGTACCTTGTAGCATGCAGCAGTGCAGGAAGGAGGGAGTTTTGCTAATCTGAGAAAGAGGGTTGGCTTAGATTCTCCAAAGCATCTTGCTGTCATCTCTCCATTGATCACCCTCAATGTGGCTTCAAAGAGATCACAGCAGCAAACAAGTGCTTGATGTTTTTAGACTCCCTTTCATTAGTGATGAAATAGTCTGCCTCTACCACTCCATGAATTTGCTAGTTTTTAAGAAGATTTATTTTAAAGATTATGAAACCTGTGACTAACCAAGACTGGTATTTGATATCAGACTTTGAAATGATTCGTAAACCATCCAGTTGTCAGGCATAGAGCAGGATTTCAGAAAAGCTGGCCAGCTGGCCAAGGGCAAAATGGCCGTTCTGGTTGGTGCACACCCAGCAGGTGGGAGGTAGGAGGTGGGACGGCAGTTTGTTTGTGGGGACCCCCCACTCAGCCACAGCCCTTGGTATAGTAAGAGATAGACAGTCTCTGCAAATAGGTGGCAAGCTGAGGTGGAAAAGAGAACAGGTGAGCAGAGGGTGTGCTTAGCTCCAAATTTCCTTCTAGGATGTCTCTCAGCAGTGGCTGGAGTTGCCGACTAAATTTAGAGGCATGACATCAGGATACTTATTCATGGCATGAAGGGACTGGTAGAAGAGGGGAGTCGCCGAGCATCTATAAGAAAACTCTTTGGCCTGGGGACATAGCTCACTCGTAGAGTGCAGGCTCCTGGGTTCAAGTCCCATCACCTTTGAAGAGTGAAGACTTCAAGGACCTGCGTGTAAGGTTCTTCATGAAGATGCCATCATGTAGAAGTAAATCTATGTAACAGTGCAGACTGTCCTGGTGCCATCCAAGATAAAGAGCTTCTGGCTCTTTAAATCAGTGCTTCTAGCAAATAGGAGAAGAGAGCTCTTGTTGCCAGAGGGAGTCACTGAGCTAGTAGGCTTGGGAGAGTCACCCTTGGGTCCTAGCACAGTTCCAGCCTGTCCTCCCACAGAGCCCATACAGGTGAAATAAAGTACTCTACTACTTACTCCCATGACTCAGAGAGAAGTCTCTTTCCAGCTTCTCTCTAAAATAACAGTGACAACCCCACCTCGGGAAGTGGCTAGGAAGAGTTCCTGAAGCATAAAGTGGCAGGTGGATTGTATTTATTATGCTCTGGTCAGGTTTGAAGGAGGTACATCCTAGCATATAAAAATCATTGAAAACAGCCCAAATAGCCCTTAGATGCAGATTTCAAGGTCAGAAACTACAGAGAACCCGAGGAATCCACATCTCTGTATAAAGCGTGAATTTATGGAGGCTGCCGTTTCAGATCTCCATCTTAACTCCTGCAGCAGCTGGCCCATTGCTGTCCCCCGGTGACGCTGCTGTCATATGCACACAGCACCCAGAAGCTGCTTTAAGACCACTAGCCTGTCGAAGACAGAGAGACATAGCCCTGGAGCCCTGCTATACAAGGATTAGCACACAGATTATTACTAGGGGAACAACAACAATAACAACAAAAAATGTCCGCATCAGCTAAATGCAAAATTGCTCCTTTTTTTTTTTTTTTTAAATAAAACACCAAGCTCATAGCTAGGATGGCATTGAGGTATATTGTGTCTTCAACTCAGCACTTTCATTTTGCTTAATGTCTTCGCTTCTCAGAAAATTGTTTCAAAGCCAGATTTTCCCCCCTTTTTCTTTTGGCCCTAAATTACTTCTGAAAGTTACAGCATTTTTGATTTGTACTGTTTTATTGCTTGTCATTTTTATTCATGTCCCTTTTGTTGCGCTCGCTGGCTCTCTGGATCTCATCCTGGCTTAGCCCACCCTCCTCTGCTGAACTGTTCCTCATATGGAAGGTTGTCTCTTCATCTGCACACCGTAAATAATTGCATCTGGGCACGTTCCATGGCCTTCTCTGGCTGCAGACTCCTCCTCTCCCAGCTGCACAGCTCCAGTTTTCTGTGGGCCAGTGACATGATTGTTGGCAATAAATGTTGCTCTTCGTTTATTTATTAGGGTTCTTCTATCTGGACAGGCCTGCTCTGTTCAAGCTGCTGACATGCTTTGTTAGGTGTGTGTTTTATAGAGCCTTCCCTTTTTACTGAGCTCCTGAGAATACGCCCTGGTCAGGAGTCACCAGGGTTAGTGGCACAGGGTTTCAGCAGTGAGTCCCTCTGGACAGGCAGTGATGCTATGGATCAAGCTGAGGCTCTTAACACATGCAAGACAAATGCTCTACCCCTGACACACAAACAGTCCAGTCCAAACACTGTTTGAAGAAAGGACTAGGCAACAGTGTAATGTCATGATGTGACCAAGGAACTTGTTGACAGTAATGGGTCCAATCTGGCACCGGGAGGGCAGAGTAAACCCGGCCCCAGTATCCAGACAACAAAATGGCATGGATATTTTGATCTCCTATCAATGGAATGAAATTGCACAACATCAAAATTCAAAAGGCACAGACCTTTTGACCCAAGGATCCCACTTCTAAGAGTCAGTACAAGAGGACACAAATTGGTGAACAATATGTCCCTGGATTTTTGTTTGTAAGTGAAGACTGGGTATAACTCATCAGAATGGGAAAACAAAAATACAATATTACTTATAACAATACTATGTGTATTAGTCAGGATTTTCTAGAGGAACAGAACTTATAGAATGAGTGTGTGTGTGTGTGTGTGTGTGTGTGTGTGTGTGTGTGTGTGTAGGTAGGGGGAGGGGGATTGATTAGAATGTTTTACAGCAGTGTTTCTCAACCTGAACTCTTTCATAGGGGTTGCATATCAGATTATTTATATCATGATTCATAACAACAGAAAAATTACAGTTATGAAGTAAATAATATTGTGGTTGTGAGTTACCACAACATGAGCTAGTCTAACCAAAGGTCCAAAATCCAATAGTTGTGCAGTCCATGAGGCTGGATATTGCATCAGGTCTTCAGTATATGCCAGAGTCCGAAAGAAGTAGGCTCTAATTCCAGTGAAGTTTTGAACTTGCTAACAAGAGTGAGAGTAAGCAAGCAAAGAGAGCAAGCTTCATTCTTCCATGTCCTGTTTAGAGGGTGTGGTCTAAGGGGAAGGTGGATGGATCTGTCCACCTCAAAGGTAAGGGTTAAAAGTGGGTCCTCCCACTTCAATGCCTTAATTAAGAACAAACAGTTCCTCACAGGTGTAGGGAGTATGGTTTTTCCGCACGTGCCATATTCTGTAGGTCTTTGAAAGGTTTGAAGAATGCCTATCTATCTCAAATACATCTCTGTGTATCTTGAAAACCTAGCTAACTTAACTCTAAGCTTTGACTATCATAGGTAATTATCTATAATCTGTACTACATTATACAATACATTTCTGAATGAACTATGTAAACACAATACCTAAACAAAAGGAGAAATATACACATCACAAAATTGACCTTAAATTGTATCAATAAATGAAAATCCATTCCAAAACAAAGTATTCATATCTATATCACACAGGTGTGCACAGCCGTTTGGATTTTAGTTAATTCCAGGTGTAGTCAAGTTGGCAACCAAGAATAGCCATCATGCCGTGTGTTAAAATATGTATTATGGGAAAGAAGCAATGCACAAGGCCTTCCTGTTTGCTTTTTTAACATATTTTAATTTCTGAAAATTTCATATGTGCATAAAATGGGTTTTATCGGTCACCTCCCACTCCTCCCCTGACATCTCTCTGATTGTGCCACACTCCCTCCCAACCTCATGTCCTTTCTCCTTTTTTATAGCCCACCAAGTCCAGTTTTTGCTACCCATATACGCATGGATGTGTGGTCCTTCACTGGAGCAAGGTCAATTTAACAGATGTCAAACCCTTAAAGAAAATTCTCTTTCCCGTGTGAATCATCAGCTATCTATAGCCTCTCAGCTGAGCTGGACCCTAAACCACGCTGGATTGTTGACTGTCTTGATCGTGTACAGTCAACCACAGCTGCTGTGACTTTGAGTGCACTGGTTATGTCATGTCCAAGTGACAATTGTGGTCCATTCTTTCCCAGCTTCTGGCTTTTCCAATCTGCCTAACCCCTCTTCCAACATGACTCCTGAGCCTTGTGGGGAAGGCTATGTTATAGATGTCCAGTTTGTGGCTGAGCACACCACAGTTACATACTGTCTGCATTTGACCAGTTATGAATGTCTG